TGAAGACACATCTTGATGTATGTATGAATCTTAATGAATGTTTTGAACATATAGGCTTTTGGTATATTGTTTTAACATGAATATAACATTGTAACTGTATTTTATGGAAGGAGTATTGGTGTTTGGAGGAAGTTCTTTACGAAACGGAAGGTCTACTCTGGAGAATTTCGTCACATCATCTGAAAACATAAGATCTGTTTGAATTTGTATTAGCTTTGTAACTTCTTAGTAATCGATTGTTGAATTACAAATGTTGTTTGCACGCATTGCAGTTTCTACTTTCGTCTGTAATAACCTCCAGGTGGTGGCAGGAGATCTCCTGGGATTACAAGGGGTCTCCGGGCGACAGAGGTCAGTTCACCTGAACAAAGTGGACATGTGGACTGTATGGCATTAAACACCACTGAAGCGCCTCCCCTCCCTAAACCCCGCCCTCTTCAGGCTCTACCCCCCCCAAATCTCCCGCTATTTCCCAACCCAAAGCTGGCAACTCTAGAATGCTGAGAGAATTTGCCATTTTGCATCGCTCCCACACACTGACTCAATATAACTAGAAGAGAAAGAAGAGTTGGTTTTTATACCCCGCCCTTCACTACCTGAAGAAGTCTCAAAGTGGCTTACAATCGCCTTCCCTTCCTCTCTCTCCAGAACAGGCACCTTGCGAGGTAGGTGAGGCTGAGAGAGAGCTCTGAGAGAGCTGTGACTGACCCAAGGTCACCCACCTGGCTGCATGTGGAGGAATAGTGAATCCAGGGGTCATTTCCTGCAGGAGCGCACCAGAGCGGAACTCCGGCAGTAAGGAGCTCAGGGGGCGGCACATGCTACAAACCCTGCCCCCTGCTCCCAGCAGCCATCAGTCGGGCCACGAGGAGCAAGAAGCAGCCAGGTAAGTTGCAGAGCCTCCCTGGCCCGCCTTCAGGTACAAGCTCTCCCTCCTCTGTGAGGGCAGATCTGCGCCCCCCCCCAATTGCTAGCAATCCAAAACAGTCCAGTGGTACCTTTAAGACCAAGTTTTATTCAGGTACAAGCTCTCCCTCCTCTGTGAGGACAGATCTGCACGTCGCCCGCCCCCCCAATAGCTAGCAATCCAAAACAGTCCAGTGGAGCCTGAGCGGTGGGCGTTGCCTTCTGACACACTTCCAGTGATGTCAGGGGGTGTGGCATATGCAAATAAATTATGCTAATGAGTCCTGCTAATAAGCTCCTGCACCTCCTTTTCTACGAAATGACCCGAGTGAATCAAACCCGGATCTCCAGATTAGAGTCTGCTGCTCTTAACCAAACTACCCACTACAAGCCCAAGATCCCTAACCTGTCGTCATTTCGAACCAACAAGTTTATGTGACGTTCGTAGGGTTGCCAGCAACCAGCCAGAAGTCG